AGTGAGAAGGCTTGTGTTTGATACAATATTTGGGTCATCTGATCACGGTGTTCCCAATTTTCACAGTTAATGAGAAAAACTGGAAAAGTTTTTTTGCATCTATATTTTTGCAGCAAAAATCAATGAAATGTTGAGAATGTTTTCTTCTTTTTTAAGACAAAATTGTAGTTTTTAGTATTAATACAGGTTATTCTTAACTAGAAATTATAAGATAAGATGGGACTTTATTGATCCCGCAGGGAATTGTTGTGCCAGAGTTTCAGTACAAAGGAACATACACAAGGACATTATTACATAGCCTTTTTTTTCTCTCTCTACATTCATGTCTTTACTGCTGAACTCACTGACTTCATTGAAGTCTTTTGCAAAGTTTACTTAATATTGACTGCACTTATATTTCAAGCGTTTTAATTTTCTAATTCTGTCGAAACAGCTGAGCCAAGACTTCTGTTTTTATGTTGCCTACTATCATTTGTTTTGAAGGTCAAACAGTCATTTAATTTTATAAATAAAATTAATTCTTGGCCACTCCCTCCACCACCTTCTATACTCTTCTTTCTTTAGATCCACAGTGTCCAGGCAGTGCCAGGAGGAGGCGCTTTGCTGAAACTTTGAAACGCAAAGAACGTCTGGGTGAGTTTGTCATTAATGAGAGATAAAACCGATCCAGTGCAGAAATTTTCAAAACACATCGGTGATTTGTTTGAACTGTAATATGTATTTAGGAGTTTGAAATGATAGAGTTGTCAGCGTTTCTAAATATTTTTTTTAATTAAGGGTTTAGGTTAATAGAGGGTTATCAACGCCTCCTTGTGTTTTTCATTAAGCTTTCATTAATTTTAATGTTGATAAATCACACATTAATTAGGCATATTAATATAAGTTTGTAGTGTTATGTTGTGTCAATGAACTTTTAATTCTGACAGTACAGAGGTGATTTATTACCCTGCTGATGACTGGTCTTGAGTAAGATTTAAAAAAAAAAATCCTCCTTTAAAACAATGCTTGTTCAAAAAAAGTATTCTGGCATTTGATGATAAATGTAAGAACAAAAATAACTTGTTTGAAACTATCTGTTTGTGCAGCTAAAAAAACATGACTCATCTGTAACCACTTTTAAAACAGACAACTGTTAGAATAAAGAAAAGTAAGAAATTCAGCCATTTTTCCCTTTCTTTGATCTCCTTACCTGCAGAGAGTCACTACGATGGGAAGCTACAGCGTCGCTGCTGTAGAGACGGTCTCAGGGACATACCGATGCCATACTCCTGCACGAGACGTTCCCTCTACATCGCCGAGGGCCCCGAGTGCATCCTGGCTTTCCGTTACTGCTGCGCCAATTACAGGGGAGAGGTGTATGACATTCTGCTCCCCACCACCCCTCCACCCATGACCACTGCTCCTCACACCACCGTTCCTCCAACCAGCTCTTACGTTCATTCTATAAGGCCAGAAATACTAAATATGCCACCAAAAATACACCTGTCAAGGAACAAGTTTGGTAAATTCCGTACATCAACTTGATACATTTTCCATTTTATGTTTTAGTAAGCTGAATATTTTTTTAAAAGTCATATTTAAACCATTTATTCATGTTAAACTCACCATTCTGAATGTGCTCCAACAGACTGGGGTTTACAAACGGTAAATCCTGGAGGAAGGACTGGACTAGGGATGAGCTACTCAAATGTAAACATAGCTGAGAAACAAGTAACAGCTATGAGCGCTCATGTTTACAGCAGGGTGGAAGAGGAGGAGGAGGAAGAAGAGTGGGGGTACCTGGATGAGAACCAAGTGTACCTCCGATCCAAATTCTACGAGTCCTGGTTGTGGATGGACGTTAGTCTGCAAGGCCAAGCAGACAAAGATGGGTGAGTAAAGAGGGAAAAAGTGGCAATTGCATATCATTAACTTGTTTTAACCTGGTCATGGAATTGCATCACTCTTTGGGTTTAATGTGTATTGGTTCTTTAATTGATCCTGTTTAGAGTAAGCACAGTTAAACATGGAAATAGTATCAACAATGGAGAAGCAGTAACGAATTAAAGAACTCTTATTACGGGAAGAAAAAAAAAATCAACTACCGTGTTTTCCGGAGTATAAGTCGCATCAGTCGCATCAGTCAAAAAAAGCATCACGAAGAGGAAAAAAACACAAGTCGCTTCGATGTATAAGTTATTATGCATTTATTATGCGTTTATTATTAGGGAGTGGTGGCGCAGAGGTTAGAGAAGGTGGGCCTGTGATCGGAAGATCGCCGGTTCAAGCCCCGGTACCGACAACATCATAAATGTGGGTGGGGTAGGTGACGCACCCACACCTGCCCCCACCCTCATTCATCCCACTCTGGGCCCTTGAGCAAGGCCCTTAACCCCCACCATCTGCTCCTCCGGATGTCCTAGATAGCAGCTCTTTGCTCCACACAGGGGGCTGTGGTAACTCGGTGGTCTGTAGTTGTGTCAGGAAGAGCATCCGGCGTAAAATAACTGCCAAGTCTTTGTGCGACTTAGTTTGCTGTGGCGACCCCTAACGCAGGGAGCAGCCGAAAGAAGATTTTTTTTTTTTTGCATTTACTATGCGTTTATTTAATGGTCAAAACAAGTTCATTTCACCTGGGTGGCGTAATTCCATCCATCCATCCATCACGACTGGAGCCGCCAAGTCTTCAGCATTCCTCCATCTGCACCAGCTGAGTGAAACTAGCGCTCACGGGAGGACTCACTGTTGCGGTCATTAGAAATTTAAAGCGTCAGTCAAAATTTGTGATGAATATGGAAAAAAATAAAATAAAAAATAAATATATATATATATATATAAAGTCGCTTTGGCATATAAGACGCAGGACTGACAAATCTATGCAAAAATAACTGCGACTTATACACCGGAAGATACGGTAATTACATTTTTTTTTCTCAAGTTGTTCAGCTGCGTTTGTTAACATTCAACAAACTGCATCCTCTGGCAACCAGGACTAAATTGTTTTAGGGTGAACAAAGTGGTAAAATTTGGTTGATTTTTTTATACATGATTAAAAAACGTTTAAAACAGATAATAACAGGGAGAAAATGTAAAAAAGCCTAATGCAACTTCTCTAATCCTTTGACTTCATGATGTAAAGGAAGATGAAAATAAAAATAATAGTCGAAATGCTGAAGGAAGTGGGTGGTTAATGGTCAAAACTGCTGAACAAACAGATTTAAATCAATATTTATTATAGTTTCTAAAAAATATGCAGCAGTTGTACAAGTTCCTTGGTGAAAACTGAGAAAATCAAAGTTTGCTTTGTGTTAGAAATAATTTAAAGTGAATGCTAAAGTAGCTGTTGCAAACTCCCTCACACATTCACTCAGCGTTAAATTCATTTATAAACTTTTTGAATGTGAATTACAACTGAACTACTGATTAGTTTAGTTTACACCATCTTGAACTGTTGTTCCCTGTTGCTATAGTTATTTTTATTTTATTTTGCTATGATTTAACTCTTAAAACTTTTTTTTTTTTTTTTTTTTGCTAATTACATTACCTGAAGGTGAGCTGGAGATTTGGATCTTAGATGTATTTGCTGGAGATACTGAAACTGTGAATTTGATCAACAGGTTGGCATCTAAAACCATGGACAACCCCCTCCCTGACAGCATCACAGAGTGGGGAGTGCTGGCGATCAGTTCGTCACCTCAAACAGGTACAGAAGATGGAGAAAGGTGCAGGAGTTTAGCGAGCTAAATTTGTTATAAAGTGTCCTTAGATTTCTATTTTTTTTTATCATCTTGTTCTTGAATCAGTGTGGTTCAGTAGAAGATAAAACCAAACAAAAATGTTCTAATTGTGTACTGTTACAGTACAACAAAGGCAATTTTTTCACCAATATCTTTTATATTTTTTTATTTTAACCTTAAATACAGTAGTCCCTCGTTTATCACGGGGGTTATGTTCCAGACAATGCCGCAATAAGTGAAAAACCACAAAGTAGGAACGCTATATTTATTTTAGTGTGTA